TTCTTAGACAGACTCACTCAAGCCCTATTACAGTATACCAGCCTGGACCCAGAAACACCTGAAGGAAGACATGTCCTTATGACATACTTCCTAGCTCAAGGCTACCCCGACATTAAAGCTAAACTCAAAAAGTTAGAACAGGGCCCCGCTACCCCACAGACTGAGATCCTAACAGTGGCCTTTAAAGTCTTCCATAACCGGGAGGAGGAGAAAGAACGCCGTAAACAAAAGGCTGATCAGGCCAATTTCCAGATGTTGGCCCAGCTGATAAAACCACAACCTGGGCGCCCCTCTACAAACAAGCCCCCCCAAGAGCTTGTTTCAAGTGCAGAAAAGAGGGACATTGGTCAAGGGCGTGCCCCTCCCCCAGATCTCCTACCACCCCATGCCCCAGATGCCACAAAAAGGGCCACTGGGGGTCTGATTGCCCAACCACCCGAAGGGGAGGCTGGACGAACAACCCCCATCCTAAGCCCGCCGTAGTGGGGCTGGCAGAAGAAGATTGATGGGGCCCGGGGGCTTCTCGCCCGACCATTTCCATCACCAAACAGGAGCCCAGGGTTACTTTAACAGTAGACGGTCACCCCATCTCCTTCCTCCTAGATACAGGAGCCACCTTCTCAGTCTTGTGAGAATACCGGGGCCCTACCACGCCAGCCATTACTCCTATAGTCAGAGTAGGAGGTAAACAGATTTTCCCATTAAACCCCCCACCCACCCTTTTATGCACAATCCAAGACAATCCCATACCTTTCTCCCACTCCTTCCTGGTTATGCCCCAGTGTCCCATCCCTTTACTAGGACGAGACATCCTTTCCCTCCTCCACGTTTCCATAACTATATCCACTCCCACAGCCCCCAGTACTCCCTTTCTGATGGCCCTCATAGCCGACGACCCCCCTCTACCCAATGAAAGCTCCGGTTCCGCCCTCATACACCCTGTAAATCCCAAAGTTTGGGACATTACAAGCCCCTCCGTGGCCCTATGTCCCCCTGCCTCTATCAAATTATGTGACCCCTCTCAGTATATCTGTCAGGCCCAATACCCCCTAACCACTTCAGCCCTCATAGGCCTCCAACCCATCATTCAAGATCTCTTAAACAAAAATTACCTCAGACCCACTCACTCCCCATTTAATACCCCCATATTAGCTGTTAAAAAAACCAACGGATCTTTCCGCCTTGTCCAAGACCTTCGCCTCATCAACATAGCCATTGTCCCTATCCATCCCTTAGTTCCAAATCCATACAGCCTCAGCATCCCACTTCTCAGTCCTAGATCTCAAAGACCCATTTTTCTATCCCTCTAGACCCCTGCTCCCAAGATTTTTTCATCTTCACCTGGACGGACCCATACACAAGACATTCTAAACAACTCACTTGGTCAGTTTTGCCACAAAGCTTCCGAGATAGTCCCCATATTTTTAGACAGGTCCTAGCTCAGGACCTCAAACAGTTTCATCATGATCACTCCAAGTCCACCTTATAATACATAGACAATCTTCTACTCTGCAGTCTCTCGTGGGAACAGTCTCAACTTGACACTGCCTCCCTACTTAACCTTCTAGCTTCCAGAAGTTACCGAGTATCCCCCGTCAAAGCTCAAATCTCTTCCCCTCCTGTCACTTACCTCAGATTCCTTCTATCTCAACAAAGAAAGTCCATTACCTTAGACAGAAAATGGCTCCTCTCTGACCTGCCCATTCCCAAAACCAAGACAGAAATCCTTTCCTTTCTAGGCCCTTTCTAAGCCTAGCTAGATATTTTAGAACGTAGATCCCTAACTTCTCCCTGCACCCTGTTGGCAAGACCCCTATACAACCTCAGCAAGAGCCCCCCTAAAAAACCATTATCCTCCTCACCCCGACACTCCTTCATTAAGCTCCGTCAAGCCCTTGTAGAAGCCCCAGCTCTCCATCTTCCTGATTTGTCGAAGCCCTTCTCATTATACATTCATGAGAGGTCCAGTCAAGCTCTAGGAGTCCTAGGCCAATATTATGGCCCATCCTTTGCCCCAGTAGCTTATCTCTCCAAGCAATTAGACCCCACAGTTCGGGGATGGGCCCCCTGCCTACGAGCATTAGCCGCTAGACAGCTCTTGCAGAAAGAAGCTCATAAACTGACATTCAGGGCGCCCCTTACCATTCTGTCCCCACATCACCTAAAAGATCTCTTAACCTACAAAAGTTTACAGACTCTCCCTCCCTCCAGACTCCTGACCTTACTGTCCTCTTTCCTCCAAAATCCCGTTCACCCCCTTTGCCATCCATACCCGAATCATGACTTTTTCCTCCTTTACTGCTCTCTCGCTTTTTTTCCTCATTCCTATTGTCTTCCCCACCACCCCAGCCTCCTTTGTATGGCGATTCAAAGTCAGACAGACTTACACACAGCATCAAACAAAAGTTACTGCCCTCATTGCCACACCAGACTGCCCTCTGAAAAGCTGCTCTGAGCCTTTATACCTCCACTTTCCTCCCTCCACCGAAGTGTTCACTAGCAGCTACCCTTATTCTCCCTACCTCTGCTTCCTCTATGACCAAAAACAAGCCTATTGCAGGCGATGGCCAGACACCTACAGGAGATGTCCCTACTAGTCTTGCGCCATTCACTACATGGGTAACTTCCAGTACCCACAGTATTACTCCTCCAACCGTTTCATGAAATATCCCAACGGCTCATTCTCCTTATCAATCCCAGATCCCTGGGACTCTCGATGGGCTGCCAGAGTCACAGCCTCAGTTTACTACGGGGGGTCCTCGACCCCCCACAGTACCCTTCATATCTCTCGAAAGTATGTTCCCTCTCATTCCCAGATCTCTCAAGTTGCATCAGATAGCAGACATTCCGAAAAAGTCATTATCCAAACTCTTGATAGCGCCTCTTCATCTTCTTATCCCCACCCCTCTTCCCATTTCTCCTACTCTTCATTACAGCTCATTCAGGACACCACCATCTTTCTCAACCACACCCTTAACACAGCCAATTGTTTCTTGTGCGCATCACTACAGCGCCCACTGCTGGCCGCCGTGCCCCTTAATATTTCCAACTACTCCTTCCATGCAGAAAGACAACCCCTCTGCCCCCTGGCAGACATACCCCTATGGGAACCAGAATACGCAGATAATCTCACCATCCACCACTGTGTAGGCCCAACTCCACCCCCCTCCAGCGCACTTCACTGCCTCTCTATCTACACCCCTACCTCCGGCTCTAAGACTTTTACGCAACCGGGACACTTCTTTTAGTGTAATGGCAGTCTTTTCAACTCACTGCCTCTCAACTCCGATACACCCTGCATTCTCGTCACCCTAATCCCACAGTTAACACTTTACAGCATGGCAGAATTCCTTGAGCTCCAACCTCCCTTGCCCTCGCGCACAAAAAGAGCTGCTTTCCTTCCCATCATGGTCAGTAGCTCTTTGATCACCTCAGCCATTGGGGCAGGGTTTTCGGGAGAAGCCTTGGGTCACTCTCTATAGGCAGTTAGAGATCTCAACGCCAAACTTGAGGGAGCCCTGACATCCACTGCCGATTCTCTAGCCTCTCTCCAAAGACAGGTCACTTCGCTAGCTAAAGTCACCCTTCAAAACCGGCGGGCCCTAGATCTGCTTACAGCCGAGAAGGGCGGCACCTGCGTCTTCCTCTGGGAAGAGTGCTGCTATTACATCAACGAATCTGGCATTGTAGAAACTGACATTACCAAACTCACCGACCTTGCCTCCAGTCTCCACTCTGCTTCCAATTCCAACCCATTCTCGTCAATACTAACAAACCCCCTCCTCACCTGGCTCTGGCCCATTGCAGGCCCCATAATAATCATTCTTCTCGCCTGTCTCTTCTTACCCTGTATAATAAAGTTCATCAAATCCCAAGTCGGAAAAATCTCTAATCAAGCTTTCAACCAGCTTTTACTCAGGAACTACCAGCTTCTGGCCACAGAAGATCCCTCACCCTCACGTGACCTCCTCACCACACGCTGAGATGGACCCCTCTCTCCACTGGAAACTGTTCCTGGAAACAATAGCCGCAGACGCCTGGCTCCTGACACCCATATCCTCTTGGCCAACCTATGGTTACAGGGAACCTTCATTGATTTCCAAACCTGAAGAAGTCCACATCTACTCGTCCTTACTGCGGGGAGTCCTATCAACCCTTTCCTCCCAATCCTCAAGCCCTCACTCCCTTCTCCGCCCCTGTTCAGCAGGAAGCAGCCAGAGAGAAAACGACGTCCACAAACCCATAGAGGAGAAAGGGGGGAATGAAGGGTCCCCACCAGTAAGATGGCAAACTTCCGGCTTCTCTTCGGGGTCCTCAGTTCCCGCCGGCGCCACCTGAAGCCCAATCACCTCTCGCCCCCCTCCCAATCCCAGCACCTAGCCAACAGCCACCAGCCCCGTAGAAGTGATACCTCAATCAATTCATGCCCCTTCCTATATAACCCAGCACCTTTCCCTAATAAAGCGGAACTCTCCAGTGAATTGCTGCTATGTGTTGCTCCTTTCCTTTCACCCCAGCACTCCCCACCTCCTGGTGCTGAAGGAATACCACCATTCATAGTAATTCCAATACAATAAACTCTAAGTTTACTGATAAGTAAACAAATGAAGGGTAGTTTGCTTGACAAAGGATTTGGCCAGGTGCTTCCTTTAAATAGAGAGCCTTCTTGAAATATATGAAACATGACAATACAAGAAAATTTTTGATTAACTAAAACTTCTAAACAAAATATCCACTTGGTAAAGCAAGGCTTTTGTAGAGAGGGGCATTAAAATTAAAAAGTACAAGTAACTCAGATTGGGGAAAAAATATTTCCAATCCAATGGATTAGGCTTCTTATTTTCTTGTATATTCCTCCCATCAGGTATCTGGATACCTTTCCTTGAAAACTCAGGAAATGGAATAAGCAGGTTATCTGCAATTCAGAGGGGAAAAGAATTCTCTACCCCATTACATCCTGCTAGAAATCCCTTTCAGTGACACAAATACAGGGGCTGTACCTGTGGTAAATGCTTCCCAGCTACAATGATACCATTGGGCGTGCGCTCCAGGATCTGCCACACTCGGTCATAGAACCCAGCGGGAGTTCTGTTCAAAGACCCATCGATCTGACGCCTGTTCAGCCAACATCTATAGACCAAAAGAAAATGCCACAGAGTGGGAAAACAAGCTTGTTCTGGTGGACAGCAGGACTTTCAGTATGGATTAATCGTTTCAGTAGGGTGAGAAGTAAAAGCCAAGATCCATCAATGATGCATTCTACCATGTGTTACAGAGGTTACTAAATATTTCATAGTGAAAATGGAGCTTGCAGGAAAGGAGAAAATCTCCAAGATTTTAAAAAATTCAATAGACAAACTTTATTCTCCAGTAAGTTATAAGGTTGCTTACTATGTGATGAGATGACTAATATGCAAAGAAACTCAATTTAAAAACACAGGAACAGCCAATTTCAAAATGAGTTTATGTGGTCCTTACATACAATAAAATGTAAGCTCCATGCAGGCATGTAAATCATACAGCTTGATCACTCCTATATACCTCTCCCAGAAAAGTACTTAATAAGCCTAAGTGAATGGATGCTCAAAAAAGTGTATTTCTAATTTAAGCCTTATATTTTCATTTTATACCCTATATTTAGTTTTTAATTTAAATGTGGTCAAACTACTGATGCTGAAAAACCAACTGCAAAATCATGTCATAATACTCAGAATGTAGTGATAAGCCAAAATTCTAGATTTCTTATTTTCATGGATTAAGTATTAAATCTTAAAAGATATAATACTTCATTCACAAACTGCCAAAGATGCAGAATCTGCATAATTTGAAAAGAACACATAAATGAAAGAGTAGTATATTCTTCTAAAAGCTGAAGATTGCAACAAATACATATTTTTTATACTTGGTATTAAGGCAGGCAGCAGAGTGAAATGTGTTGTCAACAACAAGGTAGGCATGTCATGACCAACAATATTTCTAAGTATAAAAATTGTCATGTAAGATACAGTAAACAGAAAAAGGCATTTCTGTTCTGGTTAAAGAAAACCAAGGAAGTTTTATCATTACGTAGGTGGGAGAGGCATCTCTTTTGGATGTCCAGGTTCTTTTGGTGGACCCAGACTCACATGGCTGGGTTCAGTGCTATGCTAAAGAGAAGCCCGAAGATGTAGGGGCTCCTTGGTGATGTTTTACTTTGGATAATGGGTGTAGAAAGTGAATATCCTCTGCATTTATTTATTTTTTTCTATTCCCTTTTATTGGCAAAAACAAAAAGATGTTTTGGGAGTTCTACGGAGTCATAGTTAATACTACAAAAAGGAAATGTTTGCTTAGACTACCATAAAAAGTAGAAATGTATGAATATTCACATCAGAGGTAGAGAATATTTTGGAATACCTCTATTTTTATTTTTTGGCTTTTTATTTTGGAAAATTTCAGACTCACAGAAAAGACAAAAAAAATAATTTATAAAGTCTCTGTATATATGTACCTCCTTACTCAGTTTCCCTTACTTCGGTCATCTCACATAAAGAATAGTACAACTATTGGAAGCAAGAAATGAATATCGATAAATACTATTAATCTATGGACCTTACTCAACTTTTGCCAATCCACCACTAATACCCTTGTTTTGGTCCCAGATCCAATCCAGGACCCCACACTGCACTTAGTTCCCACGTCTCCTTAGGCTCCTCTAACCCGTGACAGTCTCTCAATCTTCCTTTATCTTCCATGACTTTGACACTTTAGAAAAGACAGCTATTTTGTAGAATGTACCTCAATTTGGGTTTGTCTGACAATTTCAGATGATTAGACTTCAATTACACATCTTTGGTGAGAATACCCAGAAGTGGTTGTACACTTTTTAGTACATCACATGGGGGTACATGATGTTAATGGGCCTTATTACTGGGATGTGCCTTGATCATTTGGTTAAGGTGGAGTCTATTGGGTTTTTTTCACTAGGAAATTACTATTTTTCAATCTTGAATGGAAATACTTTGAAATTATTCAAATTTTCCATTTTTAATCACACTTTCACACGCTAAATTTAGCATCCACTGATGGTTTTTGTCTGCAACAATTATTACTGTTGTATTTGTCTAATGGTGATTTTCTGTTTCCATCATTCCACCTATACTTATTAATTGGATTCTACTGTTAGGAAGAGTCCCTTCCCTCCCACTTATCTATTTATATCAGCATGGACTCATGGTTGTTTATTGTATGGGTTATATATAATCCAATACTATCTCTATTTATTTTGTTGCTCAGATTGTCCCAGCTTTGGCCACTGAGCCTCCTTCAAGTTGTCTCCACTATCCTTCGAACACAATTCTACAATTTTTTGGAGCATTTTCTCACTTTCTGGTACCACAAGATGCTCAAGGCTCATCTTGTATTTTTCCTGCATCAGTCTTGGAATCAACCATTTCTCCAAGGAATGCTGGTTTCTTTTATTAGAAGATGGTATTGAGACATAAGTATCTGAGCACTAGGTTTGCTCTTTGCCTGTGGGGCTTCATTGCTTCTAGGTCTTCTCATTGGACAGAGCTAGGAAAGATATGGATGTATACCTACAGGTACACATCCACATTTATTTCTGTATCTTTCCATCTGTGTAAAAACCATTAATTCAGATTGACACTTCCAATTCCAATCCAATACCACAGGGTATATTCTAGCCTTTCTTATTTGTAACTACATTCTCCAACAATGAGAAATCTGTCTCTCATTACTAATAATTAAATTTCAGAATTGCTAATCCCTACACCTCTATTGAGAAAAAATTTATTGACTAGAGTACAGTATAGGTATGCAGTTATTTTTATCTTTAGCTTTACAGTATCCAGTAAATGTTTTCCAAAGTACTTTGGTTAATTCTTTTTTTCTCCTCCCCCTTCAGTGTGGGAATATTATTCATTTGTAATACAGTTAGGTTCATTTGTTACTATTTGTATTGTGTTTTGTGTTCCTTCCACAACTAGATTAATTATAATTAATTTTGTTTGGGTATAGAAGACATTTTATATATTTATATATATATAAAATATTACCATAGTTAAAGAGTCAGAGCTATACCAATGGTATCCTCAGGGAAATATTGCTCTCCCATTCAACCCTATTGCCCAGAAACTATTTCTCCATTCTTTCCAGCCTATTTCCACCCACTCCCTGAAGGTAGCCAGTCTCATTAGTTTCTGATTTATCCTCTCTATATTTCTTTTGCACAAATAAGCAGGTATTTCCTTCTTACTTACATAAGGAGTAGCATGATACCCTTTTGTACTTTGCTGTTTTCTTTAACAATATAGCCTAGAAATTACTCCATATCAATTCATAAGAGACCACACTCATTTTTCTTTTTTACAGCTGCATAATATTCCATTGCGAGGATATACCACTGTTTATTCAAATAATCTCCTGTGTATGGGGATTAAGGTTATGGGCATTCCAAAATTTGTCTGCTCAAATACTCGCATCACACTGTTTTAATTATAGAGGCTTTTAATAGTATGTTTCACTGTCTGTTCAGGCAATTCCTTCTATGTTTTTCTAGTTATTCTTGCATGTTTGTTTTTTCATATGAAGTTTAGTATTAACTTGTTTAACTCCATAAAACAGCTTGTTGGAATTTCATGAAATTTATAACTCATATTTTTACAATGTTGAGTGTTCTATTTAAGAATAAGGATACCCTTCCATTTGTTCAAATACAATTTTATAAAAGACTTCTTCTCCTAAATAATTACATTGAAGTTCTTTGTATAATAAAAAATAAAATCTTCAGTTCAACGCAATCCACAAGTATTTGTTTGTTGTTATTCTAAAGTTAGCAGTCCACTTAGGGGGAGAGTCACAGGCAACCTATTGCAACAATGTTACCAAACCCAAACTGTTGGGAGGAGATGGTGAGTACTACAAAGGTTCAGAAGGAAACTGACTAAAGTGTATGAAGTGTTACATCTACACAGAATAATAAAAATTAAGAAATATTTATAAACTATACCTGAAGAAAGTATAAAATTTAAATCAACACAAAATCACAACCAAAGACAGACATTTTAATTACTGTCTCTGTGCACATTGTCCATCTAGTAGAATGGCCTCTGGTACTCTGCTGCCTTTTATGTCCTTTTAGTACCTTATTCATTTCATAGATGAAATTACTGTAAATCCAGAGTGTCTTTTTTTTTAAATTAATTTTATTTTGGTATCATTAATCTACAATTACATGAAGGACATTATGTTTACTAGGTAATCTAGAGTGTCTTATAGGTAACAAAGGGCACTCATTACCTTCCATTCTGTTGAGGCTGGAGAATATCCAACAGAAGCTGTTTAACTTCACTGGGTGACAGCTGATATAAATCTGTGGCTGGCTTGTCTCCACCACGTATCTGTAGTTCATACTCCATAGCATGGATGATGCACCTAAAACAAAACAAGGGAAGTATGAACCAATAACTCCTGAAATAAAATCACCTTGTACTTCTCAAGTAATGCCCTTAACAGCACTGACCCATCCAAAGAGGAGTGAAGAAAAGGTCATTTGAATTTTCTGAACCATTCATGTAATTACTTCCATCAAGATTATGTGACATGATCAGATTCTAAAAATGAGGCCTGCTCTTGAATATGTGGTTAGAGAGCAACATGAAAATAGGTAAGGATTTAGGTTCATACCGAATGAGAACCTACCAATTTGGTAGGATAGTATACTGTATACAAATAACTGCCACACTATTACTTTCTCAATACCAGATATATAAAAAACTAAATAGGATAAAAATGATTCACTTTAAGAAGTAGGCTGAGATATGCTATTACATAAATGTTATTTTCCTATGAAAAGCATTTTTCACCCATTTCTTTCACTTTGCAGTCATTCCCTTGTGATTGGAGGGCACAGAGAAGTACCTGCCTTTGAAATACAGGGATATAGTTAGTTATAATTTAATTATACTAGCTTATTAGATAATATACTTTAACCAATAGATTTCAGAATAATCTTCTTTATAGATATTTAAATATAGACATTTAAATGCTGTTCATAAAATAATTTTTATTACAGAAATAACTTTAATTATTTAGGCAAGCATTTATGGAGAACTATTTGTGTACCTGGTGTTTTCCAAGGTGGTATAGTTATATGGCTAGAAATGCCTACAATAATATTTACTTTATATGCAAGTAATTTATTGTTTAATTTGAGACACTTTTTAAAAATTTTGGTGTCATTAATCTACAATTACATGAAGAACATTATGTTTACTAGGCTCCCCCCCCTTCACCATGTCACCCCCACATACCCCTTCACAGTCAATGTCCATCAGCGTAGTCAGATGCTCCAGAATCCTTACTTGTCTGCTCTGTGTTGCACAGCCCTCCCCGTGCCCCCCACCACACTATACATGCTAATCGTAATGCCCCCTTTCTTTTTCTCCACCCTTGTCCCTCCCTTCCCACCCATCCTCCCCAGTCCCTTTCCTTTTGGTAACTACTTAATAAAGTATTTTTACAGTTTCATCTAATTTTTTTCATTTATTATATTCTGAGGAAACACCTTCAATAAACTAGTTATGCAAACCAAAGAAAACTCCGGAAATAATACTGTGCTTTAGGGAACCAGAACTCTATACACCATTAGGAAGAGCTGATGAATTAGTTTTACACAGCAGATTCCTATACTTTATCCTTAAATCCTTTGGTGAATACTGAGTAAGAAACAGAGAGTACAGCTAAGCATCTAGAAAGAATGTGCCCTCATTCATCCTTGCTGCTTTGTCTCCCAAGAGGGGCTGTGTAGCCAACCCACTGGGAAAATGCCCAGTTACAGCAACATAGATTTAGAAAGGTTAAGTACTGCACCCAAATATAATTACCTTTCTCTTGAAGACTTCCTTGAAAGGCAATTCACAAGCATATTGCAGGTACCCAAGGTTGATTTGCAAAACAAGATGCATCCTCATCGGATGACTTTAATGTCTCAGTGGAAAACTTGGTAAGAAAAATGTTAAGCCTTCCCAGCTGAGCCAAAGGGGTATCAGTCAGGCATATTCTCCTGCTTGCTGGGCTAGGCTGTAGACCACAGGTAAAGTGTCCCTCTCTGTGACTGCTCCGCTCTCACTCCCCTCTGTTGCCATTTCTGGAAGTTAGGAGTTTAGCAAGGCTACCAGTCAACTGCAGAGTATATGTGCTGTAAAACCCTGAGATAAATTATAGAGGCATGAGATGGACAAAGATGGAACATAATAATTTAAAAAATATGTTATTACTATTACTGTGGAGAGTACATAATAGATATTTAATGGTAGCTCACTGGTAAGAACAATAAAGATGACAAAGTATTTGCTAACAAGTGTTTGTGAGTGTCTTGGCATGCTTAACAACAGAAATGTGACAGAATTAAAATTTATAACTGTACTTCTCTAACTGGTTGAAAAGAAAACTAGACTAAACCTATGTTAATGCCAAAGACTAGAATTTTATTTGCTCATTGGCATTACTAACTGCATTTATTTGAAATGTTACACAAATATTTTTATGCTTGTAACTAAGGATATAGTTACTTTATGCTTTGATGTTTAAGTTGCTTATAAAATTAGCTGTTAAAGTATTTAACCATTTCAGTTAAAGTTCAGTTGTAATAAATTGCTCCAAGGACATTTCTTCAAATAAAAAAAAGCTGTATTTTTAATTGTATAGGCTAGACAGAGTAGTCTTTTATTTTTTTCTTTATTTAACATTTAAAATTTACATTTGAGGCAGCTTAGTATAATAGGAGGAACATAAAATTAAAAATCTAAAGACCTGCCTTTTCTCAACAAGTCAATGACATGAAAAGAAAGTGGAGGTGGGGCTACTGTTCTAGATTAAAAGTGATAAAAGAGACCTAACGGTTAATGTCATCTGTGGCTTTGTTTGGGATCCTGATTTTCTTTCTTAAAGTCATTTTTGGGACAACCAGAGAAATCTAAGAATTAGATATTAAGTGATATTAAAGAATTATTGCTAATTTTGTTGGGTGTGATAATGGTATTGTGATTATTAAGAAAAATTTTTTTAGAGATGTATACTTACTAAAATATTGAGAGGTAAAAGTAAAAATGTCTAGGATTTGCTTTATAATCTATAACAAAAACAAAGATGAAGCAAATATGGCGAATATAACTAACAATTGCTTATACCATTTAAATAGTGGGTATATGGGCATTTACCATATTATTCTATTATTACACATCTAAAATTTTTCATAATGAAAAGCAAAATCCATAAAGATAGATTTGAATACCAATTCTGTCATTTACCAACTGTGCCCCATTGGCAAATTATTTTTCAAATGGGAATATTACTATTTGTTCAGCTAATTTTATGGAATATTTTAAGGAATAAGTAAAACAATGTATATTGAAGGACTTTTGAAATTATAAGTCATAAAATGTTAGCAAATTCCTTTTATTGACTTCTCAGACCCAGGTTGGGGGAAGGCAATACAATTTTTTGAATCTAAGTCTTGGAGTTACTTAAGCAAGTGCCATGTCCATTTAACTTCAGGGGGTATCCTCTTCTAAAATAAGTGACTTTTAAATATTTTAAATGTTTACTTTTTTAAAGTCCTCCAAACACTTGAGTTATTAAAATTAAATGTCTATCACATTTATGTTTTAACATCTTCATTACCATAAACATAGATAGTTGGAGATCTAAAAATTCCCCTCAGGATTCTTCCTTCTGTTTATGAAATTTCAGCAGTTCTGTGAGCAGATTACAGAAAATATTATACATAACAGCCATCAGAGAAAGATGATGACTGGTTTTCATTCATTATTTAAAGGAATAAAACTTATTTGTCAGGTCATTAAAATACTTTGATTCATTCAAAAACATTGGCCAAAGTAATCTTTTTCGATTGGAGTTCTTCAAAGGACTAAAATAAAAATAGCAAAATAGCCTTAGGTATAAACTACTATATAGCAGTCAGAGACTTAGAGAAAGTTAAATTACCAAGTGACTAACACAGTTAAGTAAATCAAAGACATTTTATCCATTTTTAGAGCTACTAATCCGAAAGGGCATTAAGTCTTTCACAGAGGAAAACCTGACTTCTTACCCTAATTCCCACTGACAAAATCACCAAACCTGATTTGATAATTGCAGTGTAAAAGCACTTAATGCAAAATGGGGAATGAAAGAAATTAAGCAAATGTGGAAGGTCAAAAGACTGAAGGTTAACCTTGGACCATATCCTTATAAATTTAGTCTGTCTGAAGAACCAGAGACATGCTCTACTTGCCAATAAGCAAATTAGAAAGTGGCAGATACACATGACTGATCAGATCAACCTTCATATGTATCAAGGTCTGACTTGAGGATGATGAATTCCTCAGCAGTGCTGGAAAAGTATGAAGTGGAGGACTAGTATTCCTATCCAAGGCTGGAGATAAGCTAATCCTTCTAAAAATCTCTCGTGTTGTGAAGTTAGAAAGCATATTGTGTATGTACTAGCATTTTTCTTTCCAACATGCCCCAATCAAGGAGTGAAATGCAAAATAAAGTACATGGAAATCTGACATAATTGGTAAACCAGAACGGTTGACATTTTCTGAAAAATATGCCACAAAGAATAGCACTGATCCATAGCAAGAAACAATTTTTAAAATAATCATTCTGAGGCTATTTCAAGATACTGTGAAATATTTGACAATTTTGCTGTTAAACAAATGCATGAGTAACTGCCAGCAACTACTAAGCCATATAAGAGGAGATGGGAAATTTGCAAGAAGGGGCTTTTTCTTGACTTATATTAATACAAAGATGGTGATAATTTGATATGACAAATTGAGCTTTGTGTCTGATAACTGGGAAACAATGACTCACCCACTTCCCCCCATCTAATCATAACAGAATAGAGTAGAAAAGCTCCATCATGGCGCTTACCTTGTATCAAATGTCCAAACCAAAGACCAATGGATGAGGAACAAAGCATTCTAATGAACTCAGCACTGCAATGATCTCTTTCCCTTACTGCACAAGCAATTTTAGTGTCTGGTACCTATGACACCAGTGGCCTTCTTTAAGCATTGGATGTGTGATCCACAGATGCAGCTGTGGGCATTAGAAGACAAGACATGTCTAGAACACAACTGCTTACAGGGGAAGTCCTGGCAATATGAAACGTGTAGATGAAAAAGGCTTGGTAACATACATCTTCAGGGGTTATCTCCCACTAAAGCCTGACTGACAGACTAGAGAAGAAAGTAGTTGATTGGAGGTCTTTACATTAATGGGCCTGTCAGGAATGTAATCTATTTCAACATGAAAGTTGGAGCACAAATCAATAATGAGACAGCAAATCAAATCATTATCAGAAAAGAATACTATTCCTGTGAGCCAGTTAATTTTGTTCACTGGAGTGACTGATAGTAGTAGCT